ACTAGGTCATCCGCATAAAACATCAATGAAGTACGGGTGAAAATCAAGCCACTTTGACAGATATAGGAAAAGCATAACTGAGGACAAGGCGCATCATTCGTGGATGGCGCCCATTCGGACGCTGAGGGGTTCAAGACACGACATGGTTTGGAAGACGTCGGGGTTCACATGGAACCCCTCCGTGCCGAAAGTCTCGAGAAAAGGCAGATGGTGCGGGTTAGGGATTTGCGCAGTCTGGGTATCGGACATGGGACCAAGTGGCACCTCTCCAAACAATGCTGACGGAATCCCAAAGCTCGACATTGGAGGAGTCGTGGGTGCATTGGTCAAACCAAGTGCGTCGACGTCGATACCAAAGACTGACAAGTTCTTTCGTGATGAGGGTAAGAGCGCTTCCAATGACTAGGGTACACTGTTAACCTTATTGCAATCTTGAAGAGAGAGTCTAGAAGGCAAATACCTGGGTTAATCCGCTTGACTTGGCTCAGACTACGGACACAGTACTCAAGTCGGCGCAGGGCTGCGCGTCGTCGACGTTTCGACTGAACCTGGAGGAGGAATATAGAAGCGGCGATGTAGACACTGTAGGATATCGACAAGACGCACTGGTCAATCCCGAACGACCTGCAGAAGAGGTCGAAGATTGATAGGATAGACGTCGCTGACGTGACACACTCGACGAGATAGTTCTGGATAGGCTCGAGGTCATCTGCCGCAACACTGTTTCTCTGTGACAGCATGGGCCGGTAGAGTAGAATCTTGAACGTGTGGTACAACGTGCTGGATATCGTTAGACGCACTCTTAAGCGCACACATGGCAAGCAACTCACTTCAAGCTGATAATGTGCGACGGAGGAGCCAGGGATGGCAGTGATGTTGTGTTGATCTTCAGATGCACAGGCAACTCTTCCCACCATTCCTGCAGAGCAATCTCCTGATCGACCAGACACTCCTGCATCTCTGCCTGGCTATTGGGTCGTACAGGATCATACATGTGGACGAGGATCTCGTTGAAGATCTGCGACAGCTGGCACACATTCATAAAACATGTGATTGAGTGGGCTGGTGAGGGTGGATATTTCCACCCTCCCTCGGGGACCATGCCAAACGGCGACCAAGTCTCAGTTTCGGACGAATCGTCAACTAACAAGAGAAATCAGTGTGGCACAGGTCGTCCTCGATCCAAGTAAACTCACGCATGATCTGGGGTGGTGATACTGAAGACTGCTGAAGGGAGGGCGAGCGGCCGAGATACAGACTGATCATCTTGTCCCAGAAGTAACAGCTCCAGAACACGCGATGGCGAATCTCGACATCTTCCTCACTAAGTTGCACGGAACCAGGATATCGCTGGCCGTCAACGCAGATACCGAGGTGATCAATGATGCGGAAGGCTAGACCACTGTAGATCCAAGCCTGTGCGCTGTTGCCCACACTACATTCTTGGGCACTGAGGAGAAGCAGTGTCTGAACAGTCGGGATGGAGTATTGACCCTGACTCAGCTCGTCGAACAGCATACTTCGAGCATGTTTTCCAAAGATGGCGCCCCCCTCGTATGATTCGTCGAGAATCTTCTTCGTCGCGGGATCGCTTCGGCCCCAGCGGATAGAGTGCGAAAGGACAGCATTCATCAAGGTGTGAGAGTAGTACGGTCCCAGCGTCTGCAGGTCGCGCGTAAATGCGGGCCGGTAGATGAAGTTGAAGAGTGGCTGGATCCAGCACCAATGAACGTTAAGGAGATATTGAAATGGTTCCTGCAGGGTATTAGCGGCAAGGCAGGAAGAAGACTCGCAACGAGCACAGATCAAGGGGACAACAGGACGCGTTGCAGGTCAAACTCACGGGAATATCAGACAGGTTCTCCAGCGCACGTTGCTGCCAGGCATTAGCGACGAGGCGCTCCCGGCGCTTGGTCACTTGGTTCAACGATGAGGACAGGCCACGGAAGCCGGGTGGGCGATCATCGGGAAGTTGGAAAAAGCTGGTGGTGCCGTGGTAGGTAATGCCTCCCTTTTCGTCAACGGTCAAGCCCTTGAAGCTCTCGCTGACAAAGTCCTCATAGCCAGGCTCCAGGCCGAGAGGGTCTGGCGTCACGGAATGGCTGCGTGAGGTGTTGGGAGGCGAAGATGTCTGGTAACGCTGCTCCGTGGGCGCTGGGAGGTCGGCGCGTGCGAGGGCGAGTTGAGACTCGAGCTCCTTGATGCGCTGCTCCAGGCGGGCAGTGTATGACAGTGTTGGGTTTCTAATGCGAGGGTCAGTGGTCTCAATGCCGCTGATGCCTGTCTTTGCGTTGATGGCAGCATTGCTTGTCTCTCACAGCTTGTAAACACAATCTTCAAGGCGGGCGGCGCATCTGTTGCATGTTGGCTGCTCGCCGCCACACTTGACCTGTGGTGATGGTCAGTTCACTGCACAAGTTCTCTCGATTTCTCTCAGGTCCGGAGGTTGGCCGAGAAGCGGGGGCGGTTTGTCCGGGCAAGGGACGGCAAGGACAAGAAGTGACGGACCTTGCGTCGACGGCATGGTTCACACGAGAAGGCGCTTTTCTTAAGAGTCCTCATTCAATGGAAGAGATGGCGATGATGGTCTTGGGGGATAAAAGACGATGGTCGCAAACGCGGTGCGCGGGGGTTGCCGTTGAGAAAGAACAGCAAGATCCAAATCTTGATCTGGACAGTGGCTGTCGCGAGTGATGAGGAATTAGGAAGTGACGAACCCCAAAAGGCAAGCACCACAGCGCCCCAAGCCCCGCACTAGACCCCCCCGGACAGACCCGCTACATGAGGGGCAGCAGGCGCTGGTCGCACTGTGCCTTCCACGACACGAGGGGCATACCTGCTGCCTTTGTTGTAGCGCGACTCGCCCACCGGCTGGTGGCGCCTGCCCTGCTGATGTCGATGTTTGTCGTTTTACAGCTTTCGCTGGCGGTTAGGCTCCATGACGATCACCTCAGACATGACATCAAGACGTCACCGGCCTGTATTTTGTTCTACTTTCAAGGCCGCATACCAATGTGGCACATGCCCGGCTTAGTGTGCCACTATCCACCACAATAGCCCTCCGTAGCACTGTTCCGTTCACTGAACGACCACTCACTGCACATTCCCGCTGAGGTTATCATCCGTATTGGCCCTTATCAATTCTCTACTTGTTCTTCACCAATGACAGCTCTAGTCTGACCTTCCTTTGAGCCCTCGTCGTTCCCGCCGTTTGTTTTACGAGGATCAAGCATCCGGGTCACTCGAGTAGAGTGGGGGTCACCGCCCGGCTACCGCTCCGTCCCCTCACGGACCGAGCGGGAAATAACGGACTCGGCAACTCCGCCATCGACCGGCCCTGAGCCGTGCCCCTTTTTCACTACCATGTTGTCCTCGTAGATCGATCCAGACCCTCGGTTGAGTTAAGCTCAATACTCGTAGACCGAGCTACTAGCTCTGGAGCCGCAAATCGTTCTTTCGCTGGGTTGCATGGTTGGCGAGGGAGCCAGCGGAGCTCATGCTTTGAGACCGTCCTTGCTGCGGGGAGCCTGGGGTAGCCTGGGTTCAAGGTCACATTGAGGGGCACCACGATGCTTGAGGGAGCCAGTAACATCAAGTTGGAACGTCAGCAACGGGGGTGACAAGGGGGTTGCGGCGCTTGTGGTAGCGCAGGTCGGGGAACCTCCGAAATTGTTCGACGAAGGAGCTCTCATCTTGGATTGGGCACGGTGATTGCAAGGGAGACACAAGCTTCCACGATCGTCTGATTCGAGAGATCCAACCACAGTGAAGGAGTCGGTTATGCTGAAGCGACATATGCATGGCCCTCGTTTGCGTCCGTCTTGGATGGCAGGTTCGCGAGGATGCTCACCGTGGCAGCCGTACGCAGAGGATGATAAGCTGCAAAGTCTGACAAGCATGGGTCCTTGAAAACCAGCTGAACTTTTTCGTCATTAATGGCACTCCGCGCCTTGGGACATCAGGGCGACAAAATTGCTTGCTCCTTGTCCTGCCTGATAGGCAGATTGAGATTACTGACATCAAATACTTGATACTTTTTTGCCACAATTGCACAGTACCGTCTCTTCTTCACAACCGGGACGAGCCCAGTGGTAATGAAAAGATAGAAAAGAACACGCCTGTCAGACGTCCGTCAACACCCACCCCGCCCGCGCGCCCAAGGGCAAGACCGCAAAGCAGGGACGAGATCATCAAACGCCCTCTATACAGCTCACCCGAGAAGGGCAAGAGCCGCCACCTTTGCAGGCAGTGCGAGGGCAACCAGAGCCATTCACTCTAGGGTGTCGAGGATATCAATCATCAACCAGGGTGGGATCTGTGGCTCTTTTGGAGAACCCAGAGTAGGTCGAATACTATAGAAATGATTCTCCTGAGGGATGGGTTAGCGGCCATCTTGCTACGCTGCCATGCGTATGTGCTGGGTGCTTCTAGTAGGGGGTGGCTTACTGAAGTATTGTCGACATAAGAAAAAAAGAAGAAAAAGGTGAAAAGCGGCGCTGGGCCGTCACATTATATAGAGGTCTGACTGGCGGTCTGGTGGGGCAGAACTGGCAGAATCAGCACCCGCTTCTGGCCAATGAATGGTGGGCAACGCAAAAATCGAGCTGCAGAATTGGGTGGCAGGTGCGACATGGTACGTGCCGGTCCCTATCTTATCTCAAACCGTGAAATTTCTCGTCTGCAACGACTTGGACGAAGTACTTTCATCCTGCAAAGAGCTTTTTGGCCATGGATGGGGCTAAGATCCGAGTTCATCTGGATTTCAGGGCGAAATGAAGCCTGTGGTGCAGTCTTGCGGTTTATTTTGGTAATTTTTGGTGGTTGGTTCACAGTGTCGAGAAGCAGTACGCTGCTGCACTCTTCGACTACCTGCGTACATTCACGCCTACACACCTGATCAGAGAAACTCAGGATTTTGCTCACGCTTCGTACCAGCCTGTTCTGCACGCATGGGTTTCTTGAAACCTCGTCGTGAACACTACTCCCGATGATGCACCATCTCAGTCTTCCTGATACAGTTTCTCTTCGAGAACCCATTCCCTAACGGCTGCCGTGATGAACTTGTCTACCACCTTCTCGTCTGCAGCGTCACGCCCCTTCAGCGCCTGCCTCACCCTGGTGCTGCTGACAACCTCCTCGTCGCCATCCACCAGCTCAACTCGCTCGGCCCACTCTCGTCGCCCGCCCGCCTGCTCGAACCCCCCTTCCCTCAACCCTGCGAGATAACCCTCCTGCTCCCCCTTCCCACCCCAGTCGCCGCCGACCCGCATCGTGATGCGCACCTTTGCTCTGTCCAGGAACGGCCCGAGCGCCTGGGCCATGCCGCCAGGATAGTATTTCGGGTCGAAGATCCGCACGAGCGTGTCGTAGCCCGCCAGGAACACCTGCTCGGCGTCCCCGTACCGGCCCTCATCCGCAATGGCCGCGCTCTTGTCTGGAAAGTACGGCAGCGTCGTGAGACCAAGGTCGACCGCAATGCCGTTGCCCTCGATGGCGTCTGTGAGGTCGAGTGCAAAGTGCTGCATCAGCGCCATGCGCGTAGGGAAGGCAACCGGCTGGGGCGCCTTGTCGGCATTGTTCACCGCGAGGAGGAGGAGCACGCGGGTATCTGCGATGGCGTGAGAGGCAGAGCGAATGGCCGAGGCGGCCATGCGTAGGTGTGCTACTGTTGGCGGGTTGAAGGATGAGTCGAGGACGATGAGTGTCTTTGGTAGTGTGGATGAAGAGGAGGGCGGGGTTATCTTGGAGAAGACGGTGAAGGCATCGCGACTCTGCTGGAAGGCCGTGAGCTGGGCCTTGAAGATTTGCAGAAGCTGCTGACGCGAAGGACCAGACATGGTGATTTGTACTGAGACTGGTGCTGTGTTGAATGATGGCTGACGTCGTGGTCAGTGAAACTGTTGATGTTGGGTCCATGGTAGGAGGTGTGTTTTGCCCCACATTGTGCAGTCAATTGGCTTGTGAGACCCAAATCATCTACACTCTTGTGTGCCCGAACCGAAGTCGGGTCGCATGGGAGCTCTGACACGACGCAGACTGGCCTATGATTTCGCGTTAATGGTGTGTTTACTTGAGGGAGGAAAAATTGAGACCACATCAATACTGCTCTACATTCTAGAAGGGATTACCTCTGCCTTCCTGGCCATTCGTAGTTACAGACTCGGTAGTCGTTCTGTTGATTGATTGAAAGATTAGATGCAAACAATCGTGGGATTTAGTCAATCAGTGCGCGCCTAAGTAAGCTTCCAGATGACGTCCCATTGTTCAGTCACGACTGTTCACAGTTCAGCCTCCACTTCGTCAGATCGGCGAGTGATCGATGCTTCGGTCTGTAAAAACAATGACCATCTCACTCGAAGCAGGCAAATGTCGGAGACGTAATAGGCCAGGTAGTAAGATACCGGAATACTAGATCTTGTTACCACCCCCCCGGGATCTCTACAACGTTTACCCAGCTACCCATAGCCTTCTCACAAGCCAAGAGCATCGATATCACCACTTCAGTACGCTGGTGTTCGAAAGAGGCCCCTCTGACGAATCCCTCGACCTGTCAGATCTGTCCTCAACCAAAGGGTTCATTGTTTGCTGGAAGCCGGCATGCCAACGGATCATGCACTACTCAACAGTATTGCTCTGTCTAGCTTGCTTCAGAAATACTTCCGGCCGGCCTGATGATTTCCTGACGGGGAAGAAATCGCTCCTGACGCCCACCCTTTGGACCCAAGGGAGTGTGAGGGCTGCCTGTCATTGAATTCAACACACTCTACGAGATGTAACCGAGTGGTTTGAAGATGAGCAAAAGTCTTTTCTTACAGGCCCTGCTCACTAAAGATAACCAAGATCCATATCATTCGGCCTGAATCGCTGATCGTGATCGAACCAAGACAAGCGAGGTCACAGATGAGATCTCGCATCAGCGACCAAATATCGTTCTCCGCATTAAGTGACCTACTCCTAATACATAGCAAGCACAAAAATCACAAACCAAGCGTCAGAAAGAGAACCAGGAGCGGCTGGAGAGTTGGGAAACCCATATCTTTCAATGCCAGTCCCGTGAACCCGCCGCCGGACCGTTGCTATAAGAGCATCGAAGCGCTCATATCTGCAACCAGGGGGATGGCTAGGAGCGAGGGGTCCCTTTGGCTGGCGCAGCACGCCGACAACCTTCAACCGCCTCGTCGGTGACATGGCCCGGTCGTCACAGTGCGAAACTCTCCCCACGACGAGAACAAAACAACAGCTCAGCTGACGGGGCAGATCCAAGTGAACATGATTCATCTATGCGCGACAGAAAAGACACGGAAAAGCAGGAGCGCAGCAGCATGGCAAGAAAAAAGCGAACGACGCAGCCCGGTGCCAGATCCCAAACCAATTCCCACAACACCTCTTGAGAGTCTGCCTCTCTATCCCCAGTTGGTCTCCGTCTCGTCCTTGCTCGGCTGTACGGTCCTCCCTTTTGCCCATCAACGGGGAGAAGAGAAGACCTTCCGCTTCCATGCCAATTAAAGGAATTCGGGGAGGAGTTAAAGAAAATGGGGTGACTTCAGAAAAAGCCATCAAGTGAGCCGTTTAGCAGCAGCCGCCGCTCGGGGACGAAGAGACGTTCTGGCCGGGGCCGACCTGGACGCTGCGCTTCTCGTTGTTGGCGGTCGTGGTGCCCATGCGCTCCTTGATTTGGCGCGCCATGGTGAGGAACGCCTGCTCGACGTTGCTAGCGTTCTTGGCCGAAGTCTCGAGGAAGGGAATGCCGAGGCTGTCGGCAAATTCCTGTAAGATGCAAATCAGCACCATATCTATATTTAAAATCCGAACTTACACAATGCAATGGGTCTATGCAACGACTTGATGTCACATGTGATCGGTGGAGGAGAGTCCATACCTTGGCAACGGTGTACTCGACAACCTTCTTGTCAGCCATATCGCTCTTGTTGCCAACGAGCAGCTTGTTGACGCCCTCAGTGGCGTAGCGGTCGATCTCCTGCAGCCACTGCTTGACGTTGTTGAACGAGTCCATGTCGGTGACATCGTACACGACGCAGATACCGTGGGCGCCACGGTAGTAGGACGAAGTGATGGTTCGGAAGCGCTCCTGGCCGGCGGTATCCCACTTTGCGGCACGTCAGCAAGCCCGGCACCTCGAGCATTCGACCGGTCAAGGCCAGGTAATAGATCGGGCCAAACTTACAATCTGCAGCTTCACCGTCTTTCCGTCAAGCTCTATCGTGCGGATTTTCTGCGCCCAGCGTCAGCGATGGTCTTCTCATGCCGTTATATGGGAAGGCAGAGCATCGTACGAAGTCGACACCAATGGTAGAGATGTAAGACTCGGTGTAGGTGTCGTCGGCGAAACGGAGCAGCAGGCAAGACTTTCCAACACCGGAGTCACCGATGAGGAGGAGCTTGAAGAGGTAATCGTATCTACTATCGCATCAGTCGAGAGAGTCGCGTCGGTTTGCAGACAGCCGATCGTTTTGCTGCTGTCGGCGGCTTGAGCGAAGGATGGAAACTCTGTAGACAAAGGGTCAGCTTGGCGCTTTCTTCGAAGTGGGCTGGCAGACCCATCGCAAACGCAAAGGGGGGGCCACGTACCACTCGGGGTTCATTATGGCGGTCGGAAAGACTGGAAACTAGCGTCGTGGTGTGATTGTTATATGGGAGCGCAGAGAACGCAGAGTCGGTCGTCTTGGGGGAGGGGCGATGGATTAAAAGGCCGTCGTGATGAGGTGTCGTGGTAGAGGTCAAGTGAGCCAGCGTCGGGAAGGCAAAGGCGAAAGGCAGTCAGGTTTAGGTTGGCAGGCAGGCTGCTACGTCAAGCACAGCCGTTCACTGGTTCACTGCCAGAACCCCCCCAAGAGACAAACGGTCAGGGGACCAATCGACAGCCGTGGTGGGACGTTAGCGCTGTTCGACTCGAAACACGTGATGGTACCGGGGGCGTAGCTCGGTACGTACTCTCTTATCTGTACAGTTTATCGCCTTGTTTCGGCCCTGGCCGATCTGATGAGCACATGGCACATGGCACGTTGCTGACTCGACGTCTCATGGGTACGCTATTGTTGGCTGTGTCTGATGCGAGCAATGTATCACCGGCAGTCACTGAGGAAGGATTGTGGATGACTAGATCTACCTCATGCACGACGTTGAACAAGTTCATGAATGAAAATATCTGAATACCTTTGCTCCGCACTTGAGTTTCCAATATTCCAAAATGTGTGGCAGGCATGTCAAAAGTTTGCCATCCAGTAGTATTCAAGCAGCATCTTGCCTCTTAACAGCCTGCAACCCTCTCATGGCAACTGTGTACTCGACTGCTCCGTCCAGACCCTGCCCAGCCGCCTGCACATGCGGCGCAAAAACAACCTTCATCCAGCGCCGCCAACTTGTCGATGACGGCAGGCTCCCATCCTCTTCATCGCCAGCATACTCCTGCATTCCATAAACAGCACGCTTGAATAAGGCTATGCGACAGGCAATCTGCGTCGACCACACCAACCCCAGACTCGGTGTCTTAAGACTATAGTCGGCGAGAGGATCATCGCCCCACCCGGTAAACCACCTCTGCTGGTGGTCCAACTCAAGAGTAGGCAATGCCAGAGGCCCCGGGTCATCAAACCTTGGTGGCTCAGGCATGCTGGACCGGAAGGCTTCAGCTATCGAGGACGGCGGCTCAAGCATTTCGGGTACGGCTGGCGGCCGGCCTTTGCTTCTCGAAGCCAGGGGGCTCTCCTGCGTCATCCTACCCAGATAACTGCTGCGGGGTGGTGCCATGCGGGATGATCTGGGAACAAGCGGACTCGAGAAGCGGTCGCCGACCTGGTTAGCCACAACAACGGCAAGGTTGTACTTTTGGGCCAGATCTCGTAGGAGAGCGCCCAGCCTTATGAGCTCGTTGGAACGGGCTCCCATGTTGGACCCATGGTTCTTAGTCACGCCACGTTCAAATTCAGCGCGATAGTTCGCGGCGACGGAGTCCAGAACAAGAAGCCCGATGTTGCTGCGTTCGACTTCGACGGGAACCTGGAAGCGGAGTATGTGCTCCTGCGACTCGAGGTCAGCGACACTGCCCACGATGATGGCATCTGTCGTGGGGCGCTCCTCTTCGGAAAGACCCGAAAGCAGAGGATTGGATGCTAGGATCTGCCTGAGTCTAGTGGTAGAAAGGGGTGCTTCGGTAGAGATGTAGAGGGCACGTCGGCCCAGGCCATGGGGCGAAGGGAGCTGAACCGCGAGCATGAGAGACAGAAGAAACTGGGTCTTGCCAACGCCGCTCTCGCCCGCGATTTCCGTCACGTAGCCCGTGGGGATGCCGCCGCCCAAAGCCCTATCCAAGTCGTCGTCGAGGGTGCTAATGACCAAAGGTCGATTAGTCAGTTCCTCCAAGGTGCGCTTGAGAGGTGAAGGTGACGCTGCTGGAACCCTCGAGACGCCCAGGTCTCGGTGCAGAGCAGCGACTACTGCATTGGAGAGTCTGGAAACGTCCAACAACGGAAGCTGTGTCCGTTTCCCAATGTCGGCGATGTCCAGGGAGAGTAGGTCAGCGGTCGTCACTCCATGCCTTTCGAGGGCCGTAATGAGATGCGCAAACGGGCCATCGGGGAAGTGCGGCAGGACGCGAAAGAGATCTGTCATGGCACACAGTGGATGTGCGGAAGGAGAGTGTGGGAAGCCGCCAGAAGCATGTTCAGCGAATGACGATTGGGCGAGTGTTCGCGTCCCTGAAAGCCTGGTGGCTGATGTTCCAGAAAGCAGTACTATGGCCGCCGAAGGATTTTCGTCCAGCCAGGCTAGGAAAGAACATAGAAACTTGTCGACGACGAGCTGAGAGGGACACCGAGAAGGCGTCCAATGGACGGCAAGTCAAGGGTGTTGCGAGGATGGCAGACTGCGAATCATCACCAGGTGGCGTTCAGTTAGATCGTGCTGCCAGCCCTAGGAGATTGGTAGCCGTGGTGGAACGGTGGCTTCTGCTGACCGCGATGAGGGTGTATAGCTGTCGACGCTGTCTTGGTGATCGCGTTGAGAAGGTGGTGACTGCCGACGCGATGGCGTGAGTCGTGATGCCCTGAAGTGGGGTGCATGCATTCAAGAGTCACAGAACACTGCGCTTACATCAGCAGTCCCGCTCTGGCGCCGCTGCCGGGCCACCAGGAACAAGCGTCAGGGTCCCTAACGCCCAAAGCGCCCGCCGTCTCGCAGCTCTTCGTGACTTTCTCCACCTCCACCACTGCCAGTCAACAGCACATCAATGCAACAGATGCCATCGACACTTTCGACTATGAACTCAAATGCACGTCAAATTAGGCCTCTGCGGAGAGCTTATGCCCACGAGTCCCCCTCTGGTGATACCCTCCCACAGACAATGTGGCAGCACCAACGAGCCTTCTGCTATTTGCGTCCTAGTACCGCCCTTTCGTTTCCTCAAACGGTCGACTTTGATTACCCCAGCGCAGATCTTCCTTCGTACCCACCCTGACCCAAAGGCCTCGTGAGCCAGTGGAGCTTCTTGGCTTCTTGAACTGTGGCAGCGGAGTATTCCGCTCTGGTGTTGGTGTTGCGTTGACCAGGGCTACCAGAACCAGACAGGCATCGAGCATCGTGCATTCACTCCGTCTACGACTTCTCTACCACGGATGGCTGAGAGGGAAGGAGACGAGTTCGGCTTCCTCAACCTAGTCGCTGGTACTTTGAAGGATCATAGCCTGGTATAAAGCTACCGGGTTCTTCGATGTCGCGACATCCCGTGGCACCACCCACCTGTACCAGTGCCTCCACCAAAAAACGCCGCAGCTATCCGTATCGAGCATGGCTGGCCAGCAGTGGAAGGGTCTCCATGTGTTGAACGACGCTGGTGACCAAGCACGAGCACGCCGCGACGCCGCTTTGTCTTCCTCCCGTGTCCTCGTTGGTCGTGGCCCTGTCAGTCGTTATACCTTGTTCCCTATTTCGTCCTCGGTCTCCTCGTCGCAAAGGCCGCATCAAGAGCAACCGAAAGCCGGCAACGGACACACATGCGCTCTGAACCCTTGGAGAACATGGCACTCGAGTCACGCTTCCTCTTCGCTTCTCGCTTCTCTTCTCGTCTCAACGCCAATCGCCCATCACGAAACCCACACAAGAGGGTCCAATAGTTTGCCCGGCTTATGGACCATGGGCACCGGCTGCTCCCTCCTTCGGCTACTTTTGTTCTCCCACGACCCTTGTCACGCCCTGTGTCGTTCGGTTGGGTGCAGCGCTGCTCTCAGCTCCTGCAAGCCACACTTGTGAGCCTTCGCTGCAATTGGCCCCGACACACCCATGATGCCTGAAGCCATGTCAATCTCTCTGTTGGCATTTCACCAACCTGTCCACATTTTGTCTCAATCGGCTTAGCCCAAGGCTGAGTCCCTGCGCTCCAGGGCTCACTGCGTGTTGCTCGACCTAGCGGCAGATACAGCGACGGCTCCTTTCTCTCTCTCTTCTGCTCGACCCCGTGTTCCTCATCGGAGGCGGCATGCATGGGGCTGGGCCTTGGGTGGAGGCGGCGTTGGCGTGGACATGGGGCGAGTGAGCTCTTGGTGTTGATGCTCTCTTTTATTGCTTCGAGCGCCCCCCGATCCCGCTCGCCAGGCTCCTTTTCCCTTCTCGGCCTCTGTCTTGTCGTGAAGCTCAGATCGAATTCGCTGTAAGAGCACGTGGATTTCCGAGACATCACGACCGTAGTTCTTCGACGATCATGGGCAAACGTCTTCTGTACCTGGCCAGCGCCGTGGTGCTCACCTCCGAGGTGTCTGCCGACCTCTACCGCGTTCCCGAAGCCACCACTGTCTTCAACTTTCCTCTCGATCAAGTCAACCCAAGGCCGACACCAGCGCCATATGACTTCCTCAAGGCGCGCCAAGAAACCAGCAGCAGTCAAACCGTTCTGGTCGCTCCCAGCAACACTTGCGGCTACGTATCCGGCCGACCCGGTGCTGCCTTTACCTGCAATGGCGCCGACGCCAACTGCTTGTTCTTCACAGCCGACAGCACCTTGCGCGGAGCTGTAGCATGCTGCAACTCAGATGTGTGCGGTGCTCGAGTGACATGTTACGATCGTGACGCCATTGCTTCCTCCAGTGTCTGCGACAATGGCTGTCTAGTTGATACTTTCACGCTCAAATGGTAAGGTGAAACGTAACCGTGTTGCTGCTCATCTTGACTCACATATGCCACAGCACCGAGTCATCAGCCCGCTACTGCAACACCATTTCGTTTTCCTCCAACATCTGGGACTATTTCTGCAACTCGATTGAAATTTCAACACCACAAGTAGCCACTACAACGTATCAAGGCCAGTCGAACGCAGAAGACTGGGCTCCCCTTGTTCTGACCGGCTCGGGTGAAAGCTCGGTGACACTTCCTCATGAATCTGCTCGAACCCCTATCTTTGACGACGAGTCGTCACGGTCGCCAGCACCTAGCAGCACTGGCGGCAGTACGACTGATGGCGGCAGCGGCAGCAGCGGCGGTGGGTCCTCGACACCCGTTGGTGCCATTGTTGGTGGTGTCGTGGGCGGCGTTGCAGCCATCGCCATCGCGGGCTTCCTCATCTGGTTCTGCCTCCGCCGCAAGAAGAAGCAGGAGCAGGTCAACAACCAGCCCATCCCCCCGCCTGTCATGCAACAGGTTCCGGGGCCCCAGAGTTCCTACCCTCCCAGTTCGCGGCCTCCGCAGCACCCCTCGCCGAACAGCCATCAGTCTTAATTACGAACCCCAAATTCGGTGGTTATTGTCCAGAACTACCAGCAGACCCCCTTCTCCCCGGAAACGATGCCTACTCCCCCCGGTTTCCAACAGCAGCAGCAGCAGGTTCTGTATGGCCAGCAGCAAACCTCGCCAGGAGGTTACTACCCCCGCCGGCGCTGCGGTACCAGACCGACAGGACACGACGAGCCCGAGCAGCCTGTCCGGCAGCACGGCGCACAGGCTGGAGCACCGTCGCCGCCAACGAGCCCAGGAAGCATGCAGGGTGGGGGCGCATATCAGCAGGGCGCTCGTGTACGGCCATCAGGGCAGACGCAGCCTACCATCCACGAGCGCAAACGGTGTGATCACATCGGGGCAGATGCACGAG